TAAAGGTTTTTGATTACAAGGGTCTTTTTAGAGAGTACCTTTTCCTATGTCAGCATAATCCCTGGCATAATTTATTCTGCATACCTCCCTTAACGACAAAATATGGAGTTTCTCTTATTCGCTGTCAGGTGGTACGTACCGATAACTTCAAACCCTTGAGTTATCTAAGGTTTGAAAGGGGATTTACGAATATCTTTTGAAATCCAAAAAGAAAATTGGAATACAATATTCATAATATGAATTTCAAGTAATCAAACGTTTTTTTTATTGCTTAGCTGGGTTGACGAACTCACAGCCCACCTGGTGTTAAATGGTTACTGGAGCCCATAGACATCTACCACGTAAATGACGCCACCCACCTTGAGATATGGGTTCTAAGTTCTCAGTATAGTTACGACGGCTGCCCCACCCTTAAAACCGAAACGCATTACTGCTTCACGGCAGAAATAGACAGGGTGGTGGTACCTACCCGTGCGGACTCACAAAAGGTACCACCGGTAATGACGTAAATGATAAATTTTCGAGTTTGATTTTTATTACACGAGCAGGGCTCACTAATCCTGATCTTTGTTTCCCGTCTCTCTCATCTTTTGTCGATTTTACGATGGCTAATATCATTTGCCGCACTTTGATCAATATGAATATTAATTATTATAATATTTTAGATTTTGAAATTTTAATAAATATCCCATTGAACGTTGCATACTTACATTAATAGATGTTATACATTTGCCTTCGTAAACACACTTCGTACCGTAACTTAGATGGTAATACGCATAATTTTAAGTCGACATTTCTATACTGAAGGTAACTGTAGCTGAGAAACTAGTTAAAATATTTATCGTATAAAAAGATATCAAAGCTAAACGAGCCATCAAGTCTTGTTTGGACGGCCTGTTTGTGTACTATAATATTACAGCCAAGTGGCAAGTGACATTTTCCTTCGCATGAGGGCCACCTCGTCCAAGATGTCAGTGTCTTTCAAGATTAGAACAGCGCAGAAATTTCCTTTTTTTTTATCGCTCATTTTCCGTGCTCCAAAATGAACACATACAGAATTATTATACAAATACAGAAATATTAACAGAATGTCGACGGTGAACATTCATGGGTACTTTAATTTTTTAAGCCTTATATTTATTTCATATCAGTAAAGCCTTACAGTATTTGCAGAGTTTCAAAGCAAAGTTGCTGTGCTTCGATAACACATTTGGCGACTATAAAAACTTAGTTGTCTAAATGTTGAGAATTGTAAAGAAAAATAACAAATCCGAGATCAAACCAGAAAAAAATTTGGATTTGGAATTTACTTTAAATTGAATTTTCTGTCCTTAAATATTGGAGAGGCCTATGTTCAGCAGTGGACGGCGATAGGCTGAAATGATGATGATGATGATGAAATACAAATTGCAAAACTTCTTGAACTCAAGTTCCTATTCTATTACATTCTCAATTATTTTTTACCGCAGATAATCAGATCGTTTCCTCGTGTTAATCGGTTGCCAAAGTTCATAAACATCTTTATGTTTTTTTTTTATTGCCTTCGTAGGCAGACGAGCATACGGCCCACCTGATGGTAAGTGGTCACCGTCGCTCATGGACGTCAGCAATGCCAGGGGCAGAGCCAAGCCGCTGCCTACCATTAAGTACTCTCCGAAAGCCTCGTTTGAAGAAGGACATGTCATAGCGCTTGGAAAACACGGTGGAGGGGAGTTCATTCCAAAGCCGAATGGTACGTGGCAAAAAAGATCTTTGGAAACGCACTGCCGATGAACGCTGCAATGTTTGTCATGTTTACCATCTTTCACTTAATAGACAGAGGTGACTAGAGCAAACACTTTTTTTTAAAAAGAGACCAACAATCAATTGAATCTGGTATAGATTAGAAATACAATTTACAAATTACATATCTCATATTCCTTTGTTGTATGTAGCAACGTATTTTATTGAGTATTTTAGTGAGTTTTACTCATTTGAATAAAAGTAAAGCTTTGAATTCGGATTTTTTTGTGTGCCTCTCAATTTCTCGGCCTTAACTAAATCGGTTACGTTGATTTTTGTTTACATCGCTCGGGTTTGATTCGAACGTGGTCCCATTTTGATTTGATTAAAATCTAATGATTGATGAAAAAATATTATCTATTAATGTATACAATATCACGATAAACGAAACAGCATCACCCAAACGTAACTAGCTCCAGAATTCAGAAAGATTTAGACTTAGATACACTTACCTTTTTTAACAATATTTTACTGTGATTGATTTTTATAATAGTAGATGATATTTTAATGTAACAAAATTCCATATAGGAGTGTAATGCAAGTACCATGTAACCATCATTTAATGTTAATTGGAAATTTAAAACTAAATAGTACGTAACTGATCTTCACAATTCATACCATATCGATGATATGCTATGAAGATATCGATTAATATCTGTAACGAAATTGGAGGCAAACCTCACAGTTTGATTTGAATGTGAACCAAAAATACTATAAAGATTTATTTTGATTAGTCGTACATTTTTTTTTATTGCTTAGATGGGTGGACGAGCTCACAGCCCAGCTGGTGATAAGTGGTTACTGGAGCCCATGGACATCTACAACGTAAATGCGCCACCCACCTTGAGATATAAGTTCTAAGATCTCAGTATAGTTACAACGGCTGCCCCACCCTTCAAACCGAAACGCATTACTGCTTCACGGCAGATATAGGCAGGGCGGTGGTACCTACCCGCGCGGACTCCCAAGAGGCCCTATCACCAGTGATTACGCAAATTATATTTTTTGCGGGTTTGATTTTATTGAGTTTGAGTCTAGTAATAAAACGGCAATCAGATGATGAAATAGTTAGAATTAAGGCAACCTATAAATTTACTACTTTGCAATAAAAATTACATAAGTAAAAAGTTATCCTATTAAAGACACGAACATTTTCGGTCATTGAGAAATTAAGACTTTTTGACCAAATATTTTATATGCTTCATTCAAAAGTTGCACAGTATAAAAATTATGTGTAACTTTTTAATGAGTTTCGTTGTTTTTCATAATTATGTTTTAATCATTATTAACATTGACGTAATTTCCAACTTTTTAACGTTATCTTATATTCAAATTTTGTAACATCAAGTCCATATTTGAGAAAGGACAAAAAGGTTACGACGCGCTGCCTACCGCTGATTTAAAAATAGATGTCGAACATTTTTTGCCGCTCGATTGAAAATGCGTTTTCACCTAACGAACGACGCCGCAGTCAACAATAAATTTAATTTGGTAAAACGTTTCTGTGTATTTGCAAGGGAGCTTGAAATTCCATTGAATTATATGAAGTAAGCGAAGAATTCACTGTTAAATTATTTGGGTTTGAATTTGTAACTAGACTTTGAGCGCCAGTGAACAGTACGACTAGACTTTAGCAAAATAAAGTCAGTGGCTTGAAAAATTAGCAAATCTCAATCATATCCTGGTGGTAGGACCTCTTGTGAGTCCGCACAGGTAGGTACCACCGCCCCGCCTATTTCTGCCGTGAAGCAGTAATGCGTTTCGGTTTGAAGGGTGGGGCAGCCGTTGTGACTATACTGAGACCTTAGAACTATATCTCAAGGTGTGTGGCGCATTTACGTTGTAAATGTCTATGGGCTCCAGTAACCACTTAACATCAGGTGGGCTGTGAGCTCGTCCACACATCTAAGCAATAAAAAAAAAATCCCAGCATACTACTACTACTTAAAACTTTTGACTTTTGGAAGTTGTAATTTATGTGTGCGTTTTGGTCCGTAAGTGACCTATTAAAGTTGATGGTTAAGCCAGTTACTGAAGTTCTACAGAAGTACTTATCCGAACCGTTAGGTATTTGCGAGGGGCTACGTAACGATGACATGTGACGAGTTTACATAGGTCAGTGGGTTACACGATAAACATCGCTTACGATGTTGAAATTGCCTCAGATATCTGCTTCCTCAGCGAATACCAGTGGGTCAATATCTTTCCCGAGATATTCGCCTCGAGCGATTTTATAGCAATGAACCCCGATATTGCACCCAGGGAATATTAGTGCCCACTTCTTGATCCGGCAACGCTCGTCTTTACCATCTTTTTCCAATATCCGTTAATATCGGTCGGCGGCTAACAACTTTTTATATCGTTGAAAACACTTTCCCTAACGTTTCCGCGCCGCGTCCTAAACTTTCTGTTTTCTTTTTATTGCCCGAGTATTCGAGGTAAACAAATAAAGTAAGCAAATATTTTGTGTTGTTTCTAGTTCAAAAAACTGAAAAAAGGGGTTCACTGCGCTTGGATATTTAAATATATTCTTTGAATTAAGTGATCATTCATCTAGAAAGGACGATCTCATATTGGTACCTGCTGTTACCGAAGTCCACATAAATGATGAAGGGGATATCGCAATTTGAGACACTAAGGCCTCAATTGTATTAAATAATGGCTGCTCCAACCTTGGAACCGAAACGCGCGATTGCTTCGTAACAGAAAAATGCGGGATGGTGAACCATTATCGTGTGTGCTCATATTACGCTGTCAATTATTGTACTCATTGAGCGTGTTAGCCTGAATTACATACGACAACTTAAAAAAAAACGATTCTATTCTTCTTAATGGGTAATTTTATGCTTTAAAATCGCAACCAGTGATTCAATTCCTAATAATAACACAATGTGTAAAACGAATTAATTTGCGAAATGTACAATGTAATAAATACAAAAAGGGTTTTTATTTTATTTAGCTCTCATTTATTTTGGAAGAAGGTTCAAGGTCCGTTTGAATGTACATTATTAATTGAATCAGCTTATCTCCGCAGAGCACGCCTTCACGAATTTCTTTTCACTGCGAATACCTACTTTAAATTTAATTTTAAAGAGTTTGTCTACCGTTTTATTTGTCTGTGACATTGACATGTGATTTCGGTTTTCAGATTAAAAGTGAGCTGTTTAAGTATAATTGGTTTTTCCATCGTAAAGCCCAGTAGGATTCAACAAATAATTATGTTGTCTATCAAAGGTGTTTTTCGTAAGGTGAGAGATTTTATTAATATCTCAAATTAAACTAAGTTTGATACACAGATAGTTGCTTATCAGCTGTACAAAGTACTCAGTAATTAAAAATATTATCATTATATCATTATCATTATATTATCATACTAGCGACCCGCCCTCGCTTCGCTTCGGAAACATTAAAACACACATGAAAACAAAAAAATAAAAAAATTAATAAAAAAAGTAGCCTATGTTCATCAGGGACAATGTCGGCTTCTAATGGAATAGAATGGAAAAGAATTTTTCAAATCGGTCCAGTAGTTTCGGAGCCTATTCGAAACAAACAAACAAACAAATCTTTCCTCTTTATAATATTAGTATAGATATAGATTGCCCCGGCGATAGAAAATACCGTTGAATGTGGTCGAAGGCTAGCTGTAGGTTATTCCGAACACTAGAAACCTCGAAAAGGGATATGCAATTATGTCAAAATTATCAAATGTTCCAAAAACGTAATTACTTACTTCATTATAAAACGCTTTTAAAATATTAAAATAACAATAAAATACTTGGAATTCAACATCTTTGTTATACAGTCCACTTACGGTGATGTCTTAAATAAAATAAACACGTAACGGCTATTTCACAGATTACACTCACACGCGGAGTCTCATCTACAATGAAACTTTGTAGTGAAGAGTTAAACGTCCACAGAGATAGTGAAGATAACAATGCCAAGACACCTTTTGAATTCACCGAAGCCAACATGACGGTGAGCTGGAATTTCTATATTACAATGTTGGTCCACACATTGGGTGAGCGATGCCCAACGTGAATTACATGTGGTGTTTACAAGAAATGGGACATAAAAATAATACATCAGTGTCCAATTGTTATTTGGTATTAATTAGTTGTCAATTTGGCAAATTGTCAATTTTGCCCAAATTTTATGTTTAATTCGGGCATTGGGAATTTCTTTTACTGGTGCTAAAGCGGTTCGTTAAAATGAGAGCTACAGATTGTAGTTTATTAGTTACAATTGATTTGTTTAATGGGCGCTTTTGAGCTCACGGCTCATGAGGTAGAGCTTTCCTTTAGGCTGGAAAGGATGATTACTTCGTGGAAAAAATAAGTATGATGGAGTTACCTTTCCGTGCGGGCTTACAATACGCTCCACTGCAAGTAAAAGACCCCTGATGAGGGCAGTACGCTGGTATACCTATACGGTATGGTATATATGATATGTATATATGGTATGGTATGGAATATATGAAGAGAACGCTGCTGCCCATTCTCCGAAGTATCCCTGAGGTTTGTTTAGGTTCTAATGAAAACTAAAATACGTGTAAACCCAAAACGTGTATTTATTAAAAATAATATGACGACTGGAACTGAACAAACATCAATACAATTATAATGAGCTACCGTTATAACGAATGGAATTGAGTAGTGAATTGACGTGGCTTTTCGTCTCGTTTATCAAAGTGAAAATGATTTTTTGCGTGAATTTTTTTTTGCTACAAATAATTAGCCTTGCAAATAATTTGTATACAATGAAGTTCCTTTGTTTTTTTTTTTTTGTTGGGATAGTACTGATTGTGTTATAATGTAATTTATTTTTTCCACTTAAGATAAGAAAAAATAAGTTGTTTTTTATATTTTGTATTAAAATATAGGTTGTATTTTTTCATGCCCGCACTTTTTATAACATCCGATTTGTTTTAGTGACAAAAATCGGAATCTTTCCGGTTTGACAGATGTTCGTGGACTGTTTTTTAATGTCATTTCGACATGTCATTTGTGTTTTGGTGTGTAATAAATACTGGTCTAGTATACTGGTGGTAAGACCTCTTGTGAGTCTGCACGGGTAGGTACCACCCCCCCGCCTATTTCTGCCGTGAAGTAGTAATGCATTTCGGTTTGGAGGGTGGGGCAGCCGTTGTAAAACTGTACTTGAGACCTTAGAACTTATATCTCAAGGTGGGTGGCGCATTTACGTTGTAGATGTCTATGGGCTCCAGTAACCACTTAACACCAGGTGGTCTGTAAGCTCGTCCACCCATCTAAGTAATAAAATAAAAAAAGATGTGTGGTGTCGTGGGACACCGGATAGGAACGAAGTTCCTTATTATGAAAATATTAATTTTAAGTTTCCTATCGAGGTATAAAGAAAATAGTTATTCGGGTATATATTTTTAATTGTGATTTTTTTTATTGATAAAAATAAAAATAAAACTACTTCACATAGTTATTAACTTTATTTTATTCACAATGATTTATAAAAAATATATAATAATAATATACAAAGAAACAGCTTTATATGAATAACTAGCGGCCCGCCCTCGCTTCGCTTCGGAAACATTAAAACACACATTAAACAAACAAAAAAATTAAAAAAAAATTAAAAAAAATAGCCTATGTTCATCAGGGAAAATGTCGGCTTTTAATGGAAAAAGAATTTTTCAAATCGGTCCAGTAGTTTCGGAGCCTATTCGAAACAAACAAACAAACAAATCTTTCCTCTTTATAATATTAGTATAGATATAGATATAGATAATAATAGCCGTCATCGCGTAGACTATACTACTATATTAGACACTGTATAGCCAATAATAAAATCTTACGTTACGGACGTTTTTTCCCGGTTAGGGTACCCCTCCGCATCGTCCCATAAGGAACTTCGTTCCAAAAATGAGAACTTCTCTCACACTCTCTTTTTCATTTTCAGAGGATTGCCGCTTTAGTACAAAATTATCCAGAAGGAGCTGAAAGAGCGGCTCTTGGTGCTTGCTTGGATATAGCACAGCGTCAGATCGGATGGGTCCCGATTTCAGCTATGCATAAGGTCGCTGAAATACTAAGCGTTCCTAGAATGAGAGTCTATGAGTGGGCTACATTCTATACTATGAACAAAAGGTAGGTGGTCTTTTTTGACACGTACCATCCGGCTTTGGAATGAACTCCCCTCCACGGTGTTTTCCGAGCGCTTTGACATGTCCTTCTTCAAACGAGGCTTGCGGAGAGTACTTAATGGTAGGCAGCGGCTTGGCTCTGCCTCTGGCATTGCTGACGTCCATGAGCGACGATGACCACTTACCATCAGGTGGCCCGTATGCTCGTCTGCCTACAAAAGCAATAAAAAAGGTGCTTAAGTTAACTATGTTCAATTTGAAACTTTTACAAATTTAACGGATCTTTGTTTACGGAATTACTACTGATTACCAAGATTCTAGGATCAATGACCGAATGAGCAGCAAGACACGATGAAGTTTTGGTGATATCGCTAGGGATCGATTGCATTTCAGAGACTCCCTCAGTCTTCCCCTCTATATATAGTAAAACTGTGCAACATGAATAGATTTCCAAACCAAATTATCTTATCATTGGAAAAAAAGTAACAGTTACATGCGATAATTAGGTAACGTATTCTAAACTGAAGCAAATAAACATACAACTAACAGGAAAGTCGAATACTCATTCGTCTTTTCTTTTGGTTAAAAATATATGTATATTCAAATGACAAGTTAGAATTACATGTGATGTTAAAAAAAAGAAAATTCACTGTGTAAAGGTCTTTTTCGTCGTTACCTTTCAGGCAAGAAACAACATTTTTACGATTGACTTGGTAATGTTGTTCTTGGCATTTCAGGGAAGGTTTTTGTCAGTACTTTCAACGTACAATTGGCGCGGGAGCAGTTTCGATAAATTGGTGTATTTCCGTGATATACGCGTCACATCGGAGCGCAATCGGGTTTTATTAGCAGCAAAAGTACCTCTGTTTTCGATTTGGATGCAATTTTCTGCAGTGAATATAATACAATGTTAGATTTTGTTTCCAATGTTCTAGAAGGTTCAGGGGAAAGTTCAACGTTAAAGTTTGCATAACGACCCCTTGTATGCTCCGTGGATCAGACAGTATATTGAGCGCAGTAGAACAGGCGACCTGCTGTTGCGTTGGGAGTGTGTCCGCTGACGGCTTGTTTGGAGTTGACACAGTCCAATGTCAAGGAGCATGCGTCAACGCTCCCATGATTGTTGTTGATGATGACTATTACGTAAGTATCAAACTGTAGGGGAATGATACCCCGCCCCGCTTAGCTTACTATGCAGTTATAGTAATAAGCAACACACGTGCATCAGTTAATGGTTAACGTACAGGGATCAACCGCGGTCGCTGACGTGAATAAGCATGTAATTATACGTAGTGTTTTATTCACCGCTTTGATGAGGTTTCTGGAGGACAACTTAACCAACGGACAACAAAACTCACCACTAAAACCTCACACTGGTGACCCCGACGTGATTTGAACATGCAAACCTTCGGATCTGGAGTCAGATCATTTTCGTTTTCACTAAAAGTTCCTTTGAAGTTCGATAGTCTCAAATTATTTTGAAAATTTCCACTTCACTGTTAAAGGAACTCACTTTAACGACTGTAAAAGTGTATGGAAGAGATGGAAGACCCAATTGTATTTTAGAAGGGCTATCCTACCCTTTAAGCTGGAATACATCATTGCTTAGCAATAGAAGCAGGAATGTACATTTCGATACATAATAATCCATCCATCTATGTTGGTTCCGTACATACATACTATATCTCAATTATCTCATATATTTTTTTCATTCACTTCTGATATAATAATATGTAGCCTTGTGCAGTTTGAATTATTCATGTTTTTCATCAATTTAATACATTTCAATGCGGTGGCTAAAAATATCACCTTACCCTTGAAAGTTTCTCCATTTATCTCCAATATTCTTATTATTATTATTAGAGATGACAGATCAGAAACCTATAAGCTTGGGTCGCCTTATATTTAGTAAATGATATCTGACGTTTATGTCGGCAATGCAACAGGAAATACTTTGTTTATTTACAGTGCGTTTGTTTATAAACTGGTTTGAAGAGTCTCTAGTAGCGAAACATTATCCCACAGCCTGGGATACGTAGATTTTTTTTATTGCTTATGAGAGTGGACGATCTCACAGCCCACCCGGTGTTAAGTGGTTACTGGAGCCTATAGAGATCTAAAACGTAAATGCGCCACCCACAATGAGATATAAGTTCTAAGGTCTCAATATAGTTACAATGGTTGCCCCAGCCTTCAAACCAAAACGCATTACTGCTTCACGGTAGAAATAGGCAGGGTGGTGGTACCCACCCGCGCGGGCTCACAAGAGGTCCTACCACCAGTAAATGTTGTTTGGAAACGGTACTGTACTGAAAATTGTGATGTAAAGAAGCCGGGACGAATTATACTACCATGTCTCGTGATTTCTATTTCTTTACGTTTAAAATCTATATATGTATATGTGCTTAACATCTTAAACATATTTTTTTAAATTAAACTAAATATTTCATATGGTTTATTCAAAAACTTACAACATTGCAGGAAGACGTTGATGTATGTGATGTTTACAACATAATACAGACCTTGAGATGTGGAGGGATTCCACCGGCGGGACCTCAGTATGTCTATACTTACTTCTTTTTTTTTATTGCCCTTGTAGGCAGACGAGCATACGGCCCACCTGATTTTGAGTGGTTACCGCCGCCCATGGACTTCAGCAATGCCAGGGGCAGACCCAAGCCGCTGCCTACCGTATTACTTAGTCATAATTTCTTAATTGTGAAATATCGATACATATTGACTAGGATCGTTTCCGAAGTATAAACGTATAAGCCTACTTGGCTTGGCACTGAAGTAAATGTAAAATATGTCACTTAAAAGCTATATCTCGTTTTTGTTGCGTTGATGGATGAATAAGTTCACGGCCCATTTGTTGTTAAGTAGTTATCGGAGCTCACGAGCATTACCGTGCTAAATGCTGCCATTCACCATGAGACTTTCCCATCCTTTAGATTGGAATTGAAAGATTTCGTTGCAGACATGGTTTGAATAGTGTTCGAATACGGGATCTTACATAAGTCGTATCCCTTGATGTATGGCTGATTCTTATTAAACGATGTTGTTCCGTTATCGCATTTTTAAAAAGCTTTTCCTACTTATTTGCTGGCAGCCTAAAGGGCTATTTCAGTTACGCCCAGACTTTAAGTGAGCTCACGAGCTCAACCTGAGAGAATTTGCTAACATTGCTCTTGCTACAGCTAGTGTTAGCTTTGTTAGCAAATTCAGGTAACAAACACTAGCTAGCACTAGTCCTAGCAAGAGCAGTGTTTCGCAGAATCTACCACCGAAATTTTTCGAAGTCGTTTGTAAGCACGTATTAAGTAGGTGCGTATTGCCTTAAAACAATTAGTACTTGTAAACGGGATTGGAAGATCGTATCATCACTCGATACGAATGCACTGGGGCTTCTTATCCTTTGGACGACGATGTCTTTTTTTTTTTTTTATTGCCCTTGTAGGCAGACGAGCATACGGCCCACCTGATGGTGAGTGGTTACCGTCGCCCATGGACTTCAGCAATGCCAGGGGCAGAGCCAAGCCGCTGCCTACCGCTTAATACTCTCCACAAGCCTCGTTTGAAGAAGGACATGTCATAGCGCTCGGGAAACACCGTGGAGGGGAGCTCATTCTATAGCCGGATGGTACGTGGCAAAAAAGATCTCTGGACTATAGTAACTTGCCTTAAAATTCGGAAAAAACTGAATTGTAGAGTAAAAGTGCATTTCAGAGTAAATCTTTTGTAATAAAACATTATAGATAAGTTTAGATTATAGTTATAATAGATACTAATTATTTGTTGAACAGAAATGGTAGATTTGCCTCCGAACCAGCATGCGGCCTAACAAGCTTACAGCAGTGTCCCCCTCCGCCTGGTTGGGGATTACAACAGGCACTATTGATGCCATGCCCTTGTCCTACGGCACCAAGATCCTAGTGTATTTATTTTAATATTAAAAAACTTACTTTTATCGAAAACATAGATAACGCTATATGTTTTATTTTCGTCTAATTTCCAAAAAGTTTTTAATTTTGGATTTTTGATTAGCGACTATCGACACGGTCAATTTTCTTTTGAAGCAATAAAATTAGGGATGGGTCAATACATCTATGCAGCCTTAACAGGAGAGTTGATTACACTTTAATTTTGATAGCTCTAAATGTTTAGAAGTATTTTGAAATTTACTTTAAATAAATGATGTACACATTTAAATATAGTACATAATACGAACACAAAAATAATAATTTAAACCTTACTTTATTTTTTTCCGCTTTGAGAAATTTCATAAATGAAAAATGTTACGAGAGTTATTTCTATTACTATTGAAAGACGAGTATCAATAAAATCTGCCTCGAGAACTTTCAGATGCGAACTAATTTTATTTGCCGTCCCTTATAATCTAATTGTATTTTCTTTTTCTCCCTCTTCACGATAGCGATGAAATTCTTAAGGAACGTGATTCTTTTGTCGTTTTTTTTTTTTTTAATGAAATCGCTCCTGCCCGGATTGTTCCCTTGATGCAAATATTCAAGTTCTTTCTCACCAAGAATTTGCCTTAATTAACGGTCTACGTGGCTTGATTCCTCATTTATGCTGACATCGTTTTTCGTTGCTTAGGTTCGTTCATTACATTTGTAAATGTACGTGCTTTGGGCTTGTTTCGTAGATAAGGTTGTTGTGTTATTGTTTTGATATATATTTTTTTCATTTTGCAATTCGAACCCGTGATGTTCCCGGTATAGTTAATTAAAACAGCGATGGTTTTGTTTACGGGAAAACGTGGCACCGCTAGCCTAGGAAATGAGTAAACAAGAAATATTCTGATGAAAATTTCAATTTTAGATACACCACGAACGTTTTAATATCCTGCCGAAAAAAGACCGCGTAAAATTCCAATTTTCCAGTCGGAAAAATCGGACTATGAACTAATAAAAAAATTGTTTAGAAATATCGAAATATCTGTGAGCTGCTGTAAATGTTCCCTGATTCAGTAGGTATTTGTGACAAAGTTTATTTTGTGGAAATTGGTTTAAATAGCTTTTTTTACGAGCATAATGGATAGTAGCTTATGACCCGCCTGGTGTTATAACTAACGCTAATGACGTTATCCACCTTCAAGTATAAAAATCTCAATAGTAAAGTACTAATGACTTTCATGATTTTTTTATTGGAATACATTGCTTCGTGACAGTTCGGCAGGATGGTGGTAATAATTACTTGATATTTGCCTAAAGTTTTTTTTACTAAATGGACATAGGCCATTCCAGATGAACCAGCTCACAGCCCACCTGGTGCTAAGTGGTTACCGGAGCTCATAGACATCCATAAAGTAAATGTTGCCACCGACCTTGAGACAAGGCTTTTAAGTCTCAGTTTTACATTGCAACAGTTGACCCACCTTTCAAACCGAAACGCATTACTGCTTCACATCATAAATAGGTGGAGTAGTGTGAGACATTTAGTTAAATTAACTTGCGTACAGGTTTACGTTCTGATTTGGTTTTAATGACGCTCTCAATATTGACTTCTTAATCTTTTAATAGCTTGTAAATTTGCTGTCTTTTTTAGTACTGATGACGTAAATATAGAAATGACTAAATCTATATCTATACTAATATATAAATCTCCACTGGTTTTTACGGATGTTCCGTTATAACTACTGAACCATGCATCCGATTGACTTGAAACTTGGTATCCATGTAGAAAATACATATTATTTATATGAGTGTTGGACTCTGTACACCAGTTGCGGGGGCGTTAATGGTGAGAATATTTGTGGGGGTGAGAAACAATAATGTTAATTTTAAATGCCCAGTGAAGCGGACGGGTTCAGCTAGTTATTCTATAAATATGTGCAATTATATTAATTTAACAAAAACACAGCGAGCAAACTATGAAAGTTTGTAATAATCAAAAACAAACTCGACTGACCCATTCTTGATTAGTTTAAATTGTTTTCCGCATCGGCTCTATCAAACCGTAAAGTTTCGTTAATTTGATTCTAATCTCGTCGTAATAATTTACAAGTTGTTTGCCGACCAGAGACTCGGATCAAATGAGGTCAAGAGCAGTAAATCTTCGAAGGCGTTCGCGGGCCGAGTCGATCGGTTCCCGGGGGATCGCCGTAATTAAGTAGTTGCCTGCAATCACAACCGATATTATCCGAACGGCAAACTTTAATTACACATGAAAACTATCTCCTACGTTCAACAATGAGGAGTGTTCGTGGATCGCGAAAGCTTTTGTTTCGTATATTGCGGGTGAAATTGTGAATGTTTTTTCTTTGTTCTCGCTAACAACGTTAGTGCGCTTAAAGTGTTAAAGAATGGAGTTATTTAATGGGCAGATAACATTTTTGTTGTTGTTTCGTACCGGTTATGCGTAATAAAGAGATTAGGAATTATTTTCTTTGGTGTAAAGTTAAAGGGACATTAATATAATTACTCTTCATTTCGTTTAATTGGATTAGAGATTACGAAACCCTCTGTTATAATACTACTACAATTTTAGATACGCCTAGATTTTTTTCAATAAGCTTCTCCCTATGTAATATCAAATAAGTTCCCTTATATTTTAGGACCCATTTACAGATCTGTTTTTGGATGGCTAACTTAAAAGCCCGCTGGTCTACATAGACAAACTATTTTGGGAATCACTGTTCAATTCATTAAACATAGCTTAGCGTTAAATGAAGATTGTATTTTACGATGAAACTAAAATGAAACTCAGCCCGTTTTGCTGGTCGATCTATGGTTTGACATTGATTAAATCGATACCGAACACTGTATCATCTTCTAGGTCAATCTGAAAACTTCCTGTAAATTTTTGAAAATTGGAGTCATTCCAGCCGTAAAAATAGTGTAAGAAAAAATGACTATATTGTAAAAAAAACCGTAAATTTTTTACTGGTGGTATAACCTCTTGTGACTCCGCACGGTTAGGTACCACCACCTCTACTATTTCTGCCGTAAAGCAGTAATACGTTTCGGTTTGAAGGGTGGGGTAGACGTTGTAACTATAGTGAGACCTTAGAACTCATATTTCAAGATGGGTGGCGCATTTATGTTGTAGATGTCTCTGGGCCCCGGTAACCACTTAACACCAGGTGGGCTGTGAGCTCACCCACCCATCTAAGCAAAAATTAAAAAATACTAACATACGTATGAAGCTAATGAAAGCGTATTAAAAAAATACTTTTAAAGCTGACTTACCTTAAAAGGTGTACTGTCAGCAATATTGACGATAAAAATACTAAAAAAATTGTTTCAGTAAGTTTTTAAAAAAATAGCCACAGTGATACGTCAGAAATATTACCTATGAACTCTTCAGAAAATGTATATGTGAGATTGCATCACAATAAAGTAGCAAGTTGATTAATTTTATTATCGTGCTTCAAATTGAACCGGAAACCGCTTAAGCCTACGGTTCCTAACCTACCACCTACTGTTAGTTAGACGTACTGTGAACCGCAGGACAGGATCCGACGGTCCTGTCCATTTTTCCGGGAAATAGTCATGGCTTTTTTGAAAGATCGGGTAGCCGTTACACAATACCATCGAGACCGTCTCTGACCTCAGGGCGGGGGCACTAAAAATCAGATGGGCCGTCGGCTCGGAAATAAAAATAATTCTGAACAATCATTGAACAGATTCGAAATTAAAACGAACGCATGTTAAAACATTTTAAACGTTAAGCGAGATATCAAAATGTCATTATTTTATCGTTACGGATTTTGCGGGGCCAGCTCGCGTTGATTGCAAATAAAACGTCCAAATATTTGAAAAGAGGAGCAAGATAATGCGGTAGATAATGGCGGTTTGTTTTTTTTTTTTTCATCAAAAACGACGTGGTTGTATAAATTTCAACAACCTTTTATTTTCAAGTTAATTATTCCCTGGTAGTCTAAGAGGCTATTTCCAACTATGCGCGGACGAGTAGGTGAGATCTGAGTATACTTGTTGTCTTATATGTTTTTGGCATTCGTAACACAGGAGAAAAAAAAATTAAATACCTACGGTAGGCAACAATTTAGCCCACTTACGCCAAGAGGCGTCGCCTGGTCTGCCTGTTATGACAAAAAAATAGAAGCAGTCTATGACAAAATAAAGAGAGGATTTTATGCGTAAAATGATTCTAAGGCATTAACATCCTATTTTGGTCCACTATTGGACATAAGATAAGTATCTGAGTCTTGATTATGGATAAACTAGGTGCACCCGTCCGCTTCGCTGGGCATTTAAAATTAACATTGTTATTTCTCACCCTCACAAATGTTCTCATCATTAACGCTCCCGCAACTGGTGTAGGGAGTCCAACACTCATATAATTATAGCCTATCCATTAAGTACATGTATTTTCTACATGGATACCAAATTTCAAGTCAATCGGATGCATGGTTCGGTAGTTATAACGGAACATCCGTAAAAACCATTGGAGATTTATATATTAGTATAGATTACGACTATTTGGTAGGTACATATATAGAATAGTTTTATTTATTTTACTAATCTATAATAATAATAAAACTACATTTTTGAAACCTCTTTATCAAAATAAAAAGATAATTTTATCATCTGTCTAAAATGCGATTGCGAATTTCGATTATAAGATAGGTAATAATTTTATTAATTTACTAGCGTACTTAGTACAAAACTTTCAGTTTAAATTGATTTATCGTTAAAAAAATCGAGCCAAATCGTATTTATTTAAATCACTAACAACGAATTATTGTTTAGTACTAAGTAATTTTAAGTTCAAAATTTCACGAAACTCGCACACAGTGCAACGCTCAGCATGAGATGTTTATTCCTCCATTACCGGTGTGCAGTCGTCTGATCTTGTCGCCCCGAGGGTGGCCATACAAAGGCTGTAAGCGTAATGCTTCGTATGAAATACCAAATTGCAGTACGTTCCCCTCGAACTGTTTTTGCAGTATT